TTGGGCCAGGGCCAGGGCCAGGGCCAGGCAGGGAGCTGAGTGCTGGTCCTTGCCAGGCGCTCTGGGGAAGGGCAGACGGTGGCTTTTGGGCCTGGCCATGCTGAGCCCAGCTTTGCAAGCCTGTCTCTGCGGGGGCCAGGTCTTCTTCCTGGGACAGCACGTGCAGAGCAGGCAGGTGAGGATGGCCGGCGAGGCGCTGGGGAGGAGACGAGGTTGTGGAGGGGATCCGAGTCCCATCCGAGGGCACGGGTTGTCCCAAATTCTGCACAGAGCACTGCGTGCCCGCAGCTCACGTACAGCCGGGTGCCTGCACCCCGCTGCCTCGCACCCGCCTGGCACCGCAGCCGCAGCACGGCCTCAGCAATTCCTGTCCCTGCAGGCGCCTCGCCGCAGCCCCCAGGCAGCCCAGAGCTCCTTGAGGCCATCCAGGAGGCCTGAGCACCGTGAGAGGCCTGAGAGCCAGGCCCGACGCCAGCAGCCACCAGCAGTGCCTGGAAGGCCTGCCCGCCTGCCACCAGCCCGGCCTCCGCGGCCCCCACGGCCCCCACAACAGTGGAAGGCACGCGACAGGCCCAGCGCCCCCCAGGCCTCATGGGCACGGACACCGCCCCCACGGCCCCCACCACCCTCCTTCAAGGGCTGGGGGACGCCCCCCCGGGGTGCAGCCTGGGGCAATTACTGAGCCCCAGGCTGTACCCTCAATAAATATTGAGTAAGACAGCACAGCAGTCCGGCTCTTCTGTACAGCAATACCCAGGGACCCACAGCAGGACTTTGATGGAGAAGTACCCCTGAGGGTCCTCGGTGCTGGGGGTCAGCCAGCCTGTGCCCACCATGCAGGAACGCAGGGGAAGGGAGCTGGGGAGCAGCACAGCAGGAGCAGGCAGAAGGGCTGTGAGCGCGCCACTGACCCTGCACAGCGCTCAGCCGAGAACCCCCCTGTTCAAACTGGCTGTGCCACAGCCACACACAGGCCCGGGCCCTTCCTGATCCTGTTCCTCCCCACAGCCAGCCCTCCTCAGGTCCTGACACTGCCCGGATGGCCGATTTGGGCCAGGGTGCCCCATGCCAACGCTCCCACGGCTCAGCTCTCCTCAAGGGGCACACGGAGATGTACCCAGCTCTTTGCAGTCAGGGCTGGGATTGCCACATGCTGGCACGAGGGACTGCAACCAGAGGGGAGACCCGAGGCGCTGCCAGCACCATTTGCAAATCCTCACTTGAGGGTGGCCCTCTCCTCCCGTGGGGCTCCTTTGCGGAGCAGCATGACAGCAGGCTGTGGGAGAGAGTGCTGAGAGCTCGGCTCGAGCTCCGGAGTTGCGGAGTTATACAACCCCACCCGCAACAGGACTCTGCGCCTTCTCTCTCTCCAACCCCTAACCCTAATTAAGGACCCCCCCCCCCATAGCCATTATGACCCCCCCAAGCCATTAAGGACCCTCCCCGGGCCTCCCCAATTCCCTCCCCCCCTCGGGATATTAACCCTAACCCTAATTACACTCCTCATCAAGCCTCCCATCGGAAGCCCTGGGTAGACCTGCTGTCCGAACATCTCACACCGTCTAGGTAGACCTGCTGTCCGAGCCACATCAACCATTCAGGTAGACCTGCTGTCGGAACCACACCTCCCATCTCCCAACTGGGTAGACCGGCTGGCCTAACGTCGCCGTCTAGGTAGACCTGATGTCAGAACCACCACCACCATCTGGGTAGACCTGCTGTGCTAACATCTCCCACTTGGGTAGGCCTGCTGTCCGAACCACGCCTGATCTCCCACCGGGTAGACCTGCTATCCTAACATCGCTCATCTGGGTAGACCTGCTGTCCGAACCACCTGTCTCCCAACTGGGTAGACCTGCTGTCCTAACATCTCCAACCTGGGTAGACCTGCTGTCCGAACACCATCTCCCACCTGGGTAGACCTGCTGTCCGAACCACACCTCACCTCCCGTCTGGGTAGACCTGCTGTCCGAACCACATCCTGGTCGGGCAGTTCCCTCCTCTCTCTCTCTCCTCCCCCCCCCCTCCCGCTCCCCCCCCCGTTTGCCCATTTTACCCTTTCTCCCCCCATTACGGCGCTCTCACCACAGCTCCCCGACGCCACGAAGACTCCCCGTCTTGCACACGGCCTCCACACACCATTTCGGAGCAGCTCAGCAGCCCCTTTCTGCCTTTGCAAATCTCGGCTCCTGCCTGGGCCCTCATCATTGCCTGAGCCCCCTCCAGTCGCTGCAGCTCACTAAGGACGACGTACATCGCACCATGCCACGACAATCTTTCTCTTCTCTGCTTCATTGCACCTCTTCTCATAGGCTCTGCCTAGCCAACACCTCAGCCTCATGTGGACCACGAGTCTCAGCCCAAATACAACAGCTAAGTCAGCGCAAGGAAGGACCATCGAGGTGCTGCAGAGCCCAAATGTCAGCCAGGCATCCCTGCAGGATGATGCAGGATGTTCCCTGTCCAGGCACGACCCCTGGTATGCTCTCCTTCTGAGCTACTGATGTAGGTGTTGATGTGACAGAAACTTCTCACGGGTCTTTGCTTGCAGAAGTGTCCCCAGGGAGGGCTTTACCAGACCCTCGGCTGCTTCCTGCGCTGGAGCCCAGCTGGTCTCCCAGGGGTGGGTAGTCATTCCACTGACTTCACACACTATGCCCGGGTTCTCCAAATTGCACTGGTGCCAAAGTGCTCTTGCTGCTTTCTGTTCAGGTCCTCTAAGAGCAAAGGATGAAGCTAGAAGAATAAAACCTTCCCCAGCATCGTCTCACATCATAGAGGATATCGTAAAGGAGTTAGAGAAGGCAGCACCTGGTGGGTATATTTCACTCTGTGCGCCACAAGTCTTGAGAAGCTGAGGTTCTAAATCCGTGTGTGGATGCACCGTAACCTGCACAGCAGGAAGGGATGGATCAGAACGGAGACACGCAGTTTCACACCTAGCAGGCACTGCTGAGCCCCAGAGATGGCCGAGCGCCCCTGCTGCCGCTTGTGGGTCCAGCCTGGTCCCAGGGTCAGCTGCTAGCCCAGCATTACCATTTGCTCTTGAGGGAACGAGGCCATGTGAAACCCATGGAGCAGACGCTGGGAAACGGGACCCCTCGCTCCGGTGTACTGCGGCCCAGAGTGATGCCCTGACCCAGTGCAGATGGGGCACCGCCTCACTGGCTCTCCTGTGCTCCTGAATTCCCGGTAGTGCACAGGACACAGCACTGTCCACAATTGTTCTTGCAGGCGTGGATGGGGAGAACAAGGCAAACACTACAGAGCCCCCAAATTTCCAAAGTTACTGCATAGAAGGCGCTGCGGCATTCTTGGTTCCCCTCCTGCTTGTGACAGTTGCCTGCTGCGTGCTGATCCGGCGTTGGAGGCAGAAAAATCAGTGAGTTGTTGTTCCTACACTCCCTCTCCTTCTCCCCCGCTCCCAATTCTTTTCCTTAACTTTGTTAACATGAGTATATGCCTGCTGCTAGCCAGGTAGCAGTTGTCTTTGGCGGTATTGTGAAGTGAGCAGTTAGTTTTTGACCAGACTCTTCTGAACTTTCTGCTGTCTGCTGTTTTAGCTGGCCTCTAATTCCTGGGTATTCTGTTCTGGAGCCACTTTTTCTGTTGCTGGTCTTAGCTAAACGTGGTCCTTCCGCAGCAAGAGCAGAGCCAGGGACAGCCGTAGGCAAAGGGCCTTGCCTTGGAGAGTGACATCTAATGTGTCACAGCCGCACCTGAGCGCTGCCAGCGTGCGTGTCTTCAGCACAGACAGGGCTTGTGTGTTTAATTACACATCCCAAAGAGCGGATGGGCAGCACCTCACCGAACAGTGAGCCCAGGCTGCCACCTTGTTGGGCCAGGGCCAGGGCCAGGGCCAGGCAGGGAGCTGAGTGCTGGTCCTTGCCAGGCACTCTGGGGAAGGGCAGACGGTGGCTTTTGGGGCCTGGCCATGCTGAGCCCAGCTTGGCACCCCTGTCTCTGCGGGGGACAGCACGTGCAGAGCAGGCAGGTGAGGATGGCCGGTGAGGCGCTGGGGAGGAGACGAGCCGGAGAATGTTGTGGAGGGGAGCAGAATCCCAGCCCAGGGCACATGGCGCCCCAAATTCTGCACAGAGCACTGCGTGCCCGCAGCTCACATACAGCCGGGTGCCTGCACCCCGCTGCCTCGCACCCGCCTGGCACCGCAGCCGCAGCACGGCCTCAGCAATTCCTGTCCCCACAGGCGCCTCGCCGCAGCCCAGGCAGCCCAGAGCGACAGCCGTGGCCGCTCCTTGAGCCCGTCCAGGAGGCCTGAGCACCGTGCTAGGCCTGAGAGCCAGGCCCGACACCAGAGGCCACCAGCAGTGCCTGGAAGACCTGCCCGCCTGCCACCAGCCCGGCCTCCGCGGCCTCCGCGGCCCCCACGGCCCCCACGCCCTGCACAAACACAATGGAAGGCACGCGACGGGCCCAGCGCCCCCAAGTCTTCTTGGGCACATACACCGCCCCCACGGCCCCCCCCACCCTCCTTCAAGGGCTGGGGGACACCCCCCCGGGGTGCAGCCTGGGGCAATTACTGAGCCCCGGGCTGCAGCTTCAATAAATATCCAATAAGACAGCACAGCAGTCCGGCTCTTCTGTACAGCAATACCCGGGAACACGCAGCAGGACTTTGATGGAGAAGTACCCCTGAGGGTCCTCGGTGCTGGGGGTCAGCCAGCCTGTGCCCACCATGCAGGGAACGCAGGGGAAGGGAGCTGGGGAGCAGCACAGCAGGAGCAGAAAGACAGAGGCCAGAGGCCGTGGGACATGCTGCCCTCTCTCCAGCGGGAGAGGGAAGTTGGCTGGGGAGAGGTGGAGATGCTGGCAGCTGGGCGATCCCTGCAGCTCTCAGCAGGGCTCTCGTGTTCAGTTTGGAGGCTGCTGCTGGTTGAGGTCCGGAGGTCGCTTGCTTTTTGCACATTAGCAAAACAAAGACACCAAACCAAACCAAAAACCATAGCGCTGGCAA